GTATTTGCCTTATTTCAGCTCTGGTGTAGTAACCCATATTAATACATTTGCCACATGGGCAATTAAAGTGTGTATTGTAAATATAATTTTATGTGCATTATAAATATTTAAATCATAGATGCTCAGATTTTAAATGGATGACACCAAACAGATTTCAAGATGGTCCACAGTCTTCTGCAATATTTTATTTTTGCCATAGAATGACTTCACTTCTATTCCTTGACATCAAAGGATTAAAGAGAGAGGTACACTTGCAGTGACATTCCCTTCCACTGGGAGAAATATTCAAGTTAGAATCAACTTTCATTAAAGTAAGCACCTGGGGTATCAATACCTACTTTTCCAATTCTCAAGAATGTCTGTGCTTAAATTTGAACTCTCCTAGTCTTTTAAAGACATCTGTACAATTGTTGGTTGAATATTTTATATTTTTTCAACAACATTACTTGCATCTTTCTTATTTTCATCTATTTCATTCTTCTCACTCTTCTTTATTACCTACTTCTGCCCAAGATATTCTCTAGTGTTTTCCTAAAAGAAATGTCTGTATTTTCTGTGGCAGAAAGGAGGACTAAGAGTGTGCGTAAGGGCATGAAGGTTGTATCATTGGGGGTATACAGAATCTTCCCTTTTTCCACCAAGAAAAGCAGTAACTACAAATATGAAAATATTCTAACAGCTTGTGAACCAACACAGCAGATTGAAGACAAACACACAGCTATACAGCAATCTGATTTACCACCTATGCTATTTCCATCATATACATTTCTCTGCCAAGATATAGTTTTGAAAAATGCTTTACATTGGGTAGGATTTCCAAGACACAATTAAAGAACACAGGTTAAATATATTTTAGTAAGTTGAGATTTGCCAAACACTATGTAAAAACTATATCCCTAAACATTAAGTCACATTTAAGACTCCAGATTCAGAGTGTCACGTTGCTCCTTGGGTTTACACTACTAGAGGATGATGCCTAGATCTCTGGCCCAAAATTACCTTCAGAAATTTGCAAAATATGCAATCCTACTCAAAGAACCCAGTTTCTACAAAATGAAATGTAGACAATAGAATAAAGTGAGGGAGGAAAGAGAGAACCTATAGATAAAGAGACTTTAAAGACAGGCCAAAAATATTATGGATAGAGAAATTAACCATCAGAGGTCAATACATAAGTGGAAGTTTCTCAGGCATAGACATGGTAGAGAAAGAAAGGAGTGGGAGGATTTGGGGAGAGAGTAAATGGTAACTTGAGCACATAATATCTTGCAATCTCCCAATTCAGCAACCTGTACAGTCACTTCCCTTGGAAGTAAAGGTCTTTCTCTGGGAGCAGGCATATTTGGCCTACAGGTTAAAACCCCCTGGTTCCACTGCACAGTGCCTGTTCTCATTCCCAGCGCCAGAACCTGACTCCAATTTTCTACCAGTAAAGACTCTGTGAGGCAGTGGTGGTGGCTCCAGTGATGAGGTTCCTGCCACCCTCCCAAGAGATCTGAATAGTGTTCCTGCTTGCAACTCGGACCCTGGACCAGCCCCAGCTGTTGCAAGCATTTCAGAAATGAACCAGTGATTGGATTTTTTTCTCCCTCTGTCCTCTCCCTCCACCAACTCACCTTCCTATCTCTCTCTCCCTTTCCCTCCTCCCCTCCCTTCCTCTCAACACCTTAAATAGGAAAGTGAACATATTTATGTAAAGCAGCAAATGGCTGATCAACAAATCAGGTCTTCCTCAAACTCTTTGCGTCATTTCTCAGCGTAAACAATCATTGCTCTTGAAATCCAGAGCAAAATACCCATCAAGAGACAGTACAGAAAAGCAAACGACACATATTCAACACATTAGACTGTAACTTAGAATTCCAAGATCTTTTTCCACCATTATTTTGCAAAGGTAAGCGAATAAGCACAAATAACTAGAAAAGAACAACCAATAGAAAATAGTGGAAATGATTCAAAATACTTTATGCAGACCTAAAAGGGACTTAGGAATCCCTAGTTAGCACTGTGTCTGCAAGGTTGGAGTCCCAGCTGTTCCACTTCTAACCCAGCTCCCTGCTAATGTGCCTGGGAAAATAGTAGAAGATGGGCCCTAGAGCTAGGCCACCATCATCTTCATAGGACGAGTCCTGTATGAAGTTCCAGGCTCCTGGCTTCAGCATGGCTTAGCTCTGGCCATTACAGCCATTTGAAGAGTGAACCAGTGGATGGAAGACCTCTCTCTCCCTACCTCTCTCCCTTTCTCCCACCCTGTCTGTAACTCTACCTTTTTTTTTAAAAAAAAAAAAGGATTTATTTATTTATTTGAAAGTCAGAGTTACAGAGAGAGAGGGGAGACAGAGAGAGAGAGGTCTTCCATCCGATGGTTCACTCCGCAATTGGCCGCAACGGCCGGAGCTGCGCTGATCCAAAACCAGGAGCCAGGAGCCAGGAGCCAAGAGCCAAGAGCTTCTTTTGGGTCTCCCACATGGGTGCAGGGGCCCAAGGACTTGGGCCATCTTCCACGCTTTCCCAGGCCGTAGCAGAGAGCTGGATTGGGAGTGGAGCAGCTGGGTCTTGAGCCAGTGCCCATATGGGATGCCGGTGCTTCAGGCCAGGGCATTAACCCACTGTGCCACAGCGCTGGCCCCTGTAACTCTACCTTTAAAAAAAATCTTAAAAAAAAGAAGAATCACTTGTTAAAGTTTATAAATATTGTATTCACCTCCTATGATGCTCATGCAGTCACCATCTTTCTCCTCTTTGAAGAAAGTACAAATGCTCTTGTCTTTATCTCACCACAGTCTACATGATGCAACTCTATGGCTTCTCTGTTTCCTTCTCTGGCTTTTGTTTTCCTTCTATCCTAATAACTGATGTCATCTTAAATTCAGCCCTTGCACCTCTTCTCTTCTTCTTGGGACTCAAATATCTTCATGGCTTCTACCCCCATGGCTTCCACTATCACCCCTAAACTGACAGACTTTAAATTTAAATTCTAGCCCCGGATGCCCCATTTCTGTCTGCCATCTACTTTCACTTGGCTGTTACTCCTGATTCAGACAAAACATCCAAATCCACCCCTAGTTTCTCTGTGTGTGGGTTGTCATCATGCCTCCTGCATCCCTGGGTTTTAAAGCGTGCCATTATATTCATTTCATTCTTATCCTTCACTTCACATAGGGAGTCAGTTCCCCCCAGGCATCCAGTGCTGCCTCTGGATGTTTCAGTAGGGCACCCACCCCCTCCCACAGATCCTAGCTCACATCCTGAGCACAGCAACAGCCCCCCCGTGGCTTGCCTTCCCAGGCTTATCACTTCCTAATCCAACCAGGCAGCCTAGCGCTCCCTGAATCCTCTTTCAACTTTCACCCGATCACTCCCGTGTTCACAAACAAGTCTGTTTGTCCTTTAGTTCAACACCAAGGCTAAACACGGATTTTTCAAGGTTCTCTAAAATGTGCCCCTATATACCAAGCCAACATTTTTATTGTTTCCCATTAAATGATCTATGGCTTTGCTTTCTCTTTGTTTGGAATTCCTTCTTTTATATTTCTACTTCCAACTCTTAGCACTTGCATCAAGGCCCTTCCCAAATCTCGACTTCTTTACCTACCCTTACATGACTAAAGGTGACTCTCTTCTTGGTTCTCATGCCTCTAATGATTTACTAGACATTTAATGCTTGGCAGAATGTGTGGCATGGCGATTGAGCCACCTCTTGGGACACCTGCATCTCACACTAGAGTGCATGGGTTCAACTCCTAGTTCCACTTCCGTCGTCTTGTTAATGTACACTGGGATGCAGCAGGTGATGGCTCAAGTACCTGGGTACCTGCCAACCATGTGGTAGGCCCGGCCTGAGCTACTAGCTCCTGGCTTCAGTCTGGCCCAGTCCTGACTTTTGTGGACACTCGAAGAGTGAACTGGCAAATGGAAGCTCTCTCTCTGTTTCCCTCTGTTTCTCTGTCTCTGTGCCTTACAAGTAAATAAAAATAATTTTTTAAAAATAAATTTACACATACTGATATGATGCTTACTATTCTATGTTCATGTTTTTTCTCCAATTACATGGCAAGTTCCACTCCCCACCCCACAAAAAGAAAGAGAGTTCTCTATCACCCTACCGCACATCCCAGGGTTGAACACTAACTTTTAAGGATATCCATGTTAATTAATCTACTAGTTAGATATATTTTTGATTTTCATCTACTAGACACATAGGTAAGTGATTTATAATAAATAAGAGTAAAAACAATGCCACTGTAGAGAAACCCATATGCCTATGGCATCTGACTTCTTTAAAAAAAAAAAAAAAAAGATTCCTTTATTTGAAAGTTGGATTTACAGAGTGAGAGAGTGAGAGAGACTGAGCTTCCATTTGCTGCTTCACTTCCCAAATGGCTGCAATGGCCAGGGCTGGGTCAGGCCAAAGCCAGGAGCCAAAAGCTTTTTCTGGGTCTCCCACTTGGGCCATTTTTTGCTGCTTTTCCCAGGACATTAGCAGGAAGCTGGGTCAGAAGTGGAGCATCTGGGACATAAAGGGCACCCAAATGGGATGCCAGCAACCCGGTAGCAGCTTTAACTGTTATGCCACAATGCCATCCCCAGCATTTGATTTTTAAATATTATACAATTGAGGCTGGTTCTGTGGCATAGCGGGTAAGGCAGCCACCTGCAGTGCTGGCATCCCATATGGGCATCTATTCAGGTCCTGGCTGCTCCATTTCCGATACAGCTCTCTTCTGTGGCCTGGGAAAGCAGTGAAAGTTGGCCCAACACCTTGCGCCCCTGCACCCGCGTGGGAGACCTGGGGGAGGCTCCTAGCTCCTGGCTTCAGATCGGCGCATCTCCAGCTGTTGCAGCCAAATGAGGAGTGAACCAGCAGATGGAGGACCTCTCTTTCTCTCTGCCTCTCCTTCTCTCTCTATGTAACACTTACTTTCAAGTAAATAAATAAATCTTTTTTAAAAAGTTATACACTTAACTGTAAAACTTTAAATGTAAAAATTATTTCTTACCTGATTTTATGCAGTCTGATGATTTGCAAATACCATCTAGAAAAAGGAGGGTATATGCATAAATATTTAAAATACATGCCTAGTAATTTCTTCCTATCTTTTATTCTTTTAAAAACTGCCAATTAAAGAAACAATTTTTTAAAGAACAAACTAAAAGCTGAGTGTTACATATCATAGTCATTGGTTGCAAAAAAAGAAGAAATATATATATAGGGCAATAATATACAAGTCCTAAATTTAGAGTTTTGATTATCAAGAAAAAATGTGCTATTATATCATCCTACCAATCAAGTCATAGGACTATTATTGAAATAATCAGTTTTGTTTAGTAGTTGTTTTTTTTTTCCCTACACAATAAGAAACCAATCTTTACTAATTCTTACTGTGGAAAAAAAAAACTTTCAACACTCAAATTAGACGTCTTAAATTCCTTTGAAGTCCTTTATCATTTCAATGATACAACAAAAGTTGACTAATGACTATTACTGAAGTGGGTGATAAAATTGTGTTTACTTTAATCTAATAAACATACCCATAATAGAATCCTCATAAAGTAAGCAGGAGTGACCTAAATATGCTTGGCAATTAATAACTCAGCTCCAACATAAAAGACACTCTGCTTTACTCCAAACTAATTGTTTTGACATACTACTGTTACATTTTAGTAAGGAATATTTATACCATCATGGACACCTGTTAGTTGGATGGTAAGAGCCCAAGATGAATATTTCATTCTCTTCTGCATTTAGGACTGCTCAGGTACAAGAGGAACCTACCGTCATAGGTTGCATAGAGTGCTATCATCGTCACAGCTATGACAGTGAGGAGCAGGACAAGGACTGAGAGACTGATCTCCAGAGGAGTCCATCGCTGTTTCTTCTTTGGCTTTGGAGTGTTGATATCAGTTATATCCATCTGACTTTCTGATCTTCCCATCACCTAAAATCTGCAAAAAATAAAAATACTAATAACAAACAGACAAAAAGAAGAAACACACAATTTTAAAGCAAAAATAAAGGAATTTTGTTGACAAATCAAAATTTTGATTCTACAAGTAAATAATTTAGAGCCAGATGAATCTGACAAGTCTTGGTCACAATCTTTTGTTTTTTTTTTGGATCACTGAAGAGTCCAACAAAAGTGGATGACCTGGCCAGTTTAAATACTCACATATGATTACTTCAGCAGTTCATAAGCAAAAATTGCTGTACCATCATTAGGGAAGTCTTAAACTCACCTTTCTAAACTGTGGACTCACATCAAAGGTTAATTTTATAACTTGCTCCAGTGGTTTCTTTTATAAGCTCAAAAATCAATGACTAATACCTTGAAGTGTTGACTAAGCAATACTTTGAAATATGAATACAAACACAAAATCAAAAGGAACAAGCAACTTGAAGTAGTTTACATAAACAACTTTTATTTTTACAGTTCAGAATTAATATTCTTTGTTCATGAGGTTATCTATTAACTAGCTAGACAACATTTAGAAAATGGTCAGTGGTTTACACCTTGAGATGAAAGATGTGAACCATGTCAATGTTTCCTTGTGCAACTGAAGGGGGAGAACATGATTAAAAAACAATTCTACCTTGCAAGTCAGGGTGTCAGGCACTAAAATAATAATATTAATACTTCTAATGATGGCTGACATTTATTGAGCTCTTCTCATGTGGCAATCCCAGGTCTTTGTGCCTTACACAAACTAATTATTTTAAGCTTCATGAAGTAGATATTTCTAGTCCAATTCTATACCTTAAGAGCACACAAGTCAAGTAACTTGCCCGAGCCCATACAAGTAAACATTATTTGTAAAAAAATGCATTTGATTGCTGTTTGGAAAAAAAAATGTTTAATTATGCAGTAAAAGCTATTTTAGACCTTATTGCAGAAATTCAGGGGGAAAATTAAGGGCAATCTAACCTAAATATTAAATTCCATTGTATCCTTTAGAGGCCTAGTGACTCTATCTGTTTACTAGTCACTCACCACAGCTTTGAATGAACAATTTCATTTTGTCGTCAGTGACTGTACAAGAGAACATCTTAAACGAACAGACTAGTTGTTAATAACTCAATCCAAATTCATCATAAAATTTAGTTCCTAGATGAAGGGACTGCTTAGAAACGCTCTAATAGATCTTTGTTAAATACACACAGTTCCTTGAGGATGTGTTTTGTGTAAACTGAGGCAGATAAGAGAGCAGAAGATTCTACTTTGGAAGTGTGGTCTGGAAGATCTAGCCGATAACTAAGAATTTAATCTCTAATGAACCATTAATAAGTAAACCACAGCTACAGAATGTTAAAGTCCTAGATACAAAGTCTTAATTATGCTGTTTACTTGATTACATGAGGCTAAAAGCATGGACAGACTATCAAATAAAAATATTTTATCACACAATGAAAACCATGCCTGCTTCATAAAAGTGGAATGTAATGTACCTGAATGTTAAAAATGTAACTCTTGTTAGCTGAGTCTCACAGTCGCAGAGGAGGGGTGTGGGGATTGGCTATGGAATTGCCTTGATTATAATCCTACTTTAATAGGGGTGATGGTTGGGTAAAGAGAAGATGGAAGTATATTTAATACTTGAACACCCTACAGAGAGGTAAACAATAAAAAAGACTAATTTTCCTAGTCTTCCAGATTTCAAGACTGACTTAAAGAATGAATACATTTAATCACATTTGCTCACCTATTTCCCTTTCTTAAAGATCGCTCCTCCTGTTCTAATAAGATTTTGAAAGACAATATAGAGAAATGTTTTACTGCTATAAACTTTATTATTATTATTATTTCTTTCTTAGACTTGGCAGGGGAATCAGGGCAGCCAATGGTAAATTAGAGGCTCTCTTTACCACTGCCACAGTTTCTGGTGCATCAGATCCAGTAAATATTAGTAGGCAAGCATTTCTCCCTTCCTGGTTACTTTTCCATGGCTTTTCCCCTTATCCTTGAAAATGGGGTGCCAGGGAAGATGGGTTCTAGCGCTTGGCACCTAACACTGCAGAAATAGTGACATGGAAATTAAGGCAGTATCTGATGTTGTTTAGTCCTTTTACATGCATCATCTTTGAATCATCTGAAAACTTTCTTCCATAGTCCCACTTCTTCAAAGTAATGTTTTGCTCCTAAACAGCACTTTTCAACAACATTGGACAAAAGTAGCAGCAATGCATGTTTAACCTCAGAACCAACTTCGTCAGTGACTTCTAGGTAATTGTCAATGATTCATTATTTTCTCTTAAGAAAACAGGAGTCAGAATCCAGGGCACATATCACCGACTCCCACTCCCTTACCTGCACATCCAACTCAACCACCACCAATCACAAGTAAGAGGGGGGAGGAGGGAACAGGGAAACAAATAAACAAAACTCCAAAAAGCTATACAGTGATACTAGTAGTCCCATTTAAGGCAGAGTGTGCAAAAACGTGCCTACATGGTTAAACTGCTTCATCTCAACTGGAAATGCGTTAAAATGTGTAAACTGAACAGTAGACACTGCCATAGAAGACAAGATCAGAGAATTAGCAGCTCTAACCCAGCAAGAATCCTGCTAACTACAGCTTGACGGCATCACCGAAAGAATAAATTCTTTTGCTAGAGGATAAGCTAAATTTCAAAGCACTGTTAAGCAGCAGTTCTTAGAGCAGCTGAGCATAAGCATGACTTTATCAGATAGCTGAATCCTGGAATGTGGAAGATAACTGATTGGTTAAAGGGAAGCCTGACTCTGAGCAATTTTCATTTTCCCAGCACATGAAAGCATTAAGTTATTTCAAGTCCTTGAAGATGTGCTGTGTAACTACAGGTTGCATTATGGAAACTGAGGCACAGGAAGGAGGAACAGGATCCACATTGACTATGTTTGCAGAAGCTGAGCAGGTAGGTTCTCAGGAGAAATCATTTTTTTTTTTTCCTCCAGACATTAATTTCTAGGCGTTTCCTGTGTCCGAAATACAGAGATCTGGACACAAAGTCCCAACCACACTGCTCCCATGTGTAGTGTAGCTCTAGGACCAGACATACAGCTTCCAGTCCGAGAAGGTATCAGACCATTTTTTAAACTGCTGGAACCTGGCAACAGAGTAAGGGAGCCACGCTACCCGCCTGGATAGCCCATTTGCCATTCAGCAGCTGCCAATGTTGACGTTGGAAGTCTGGAACTAGTTTTCAGTTGAGTAAAATTGCCATTTGAATCGCCCGAACATAGAGAAGAGGAATGGAGTACATCAAGAGGCTGAAGAGAGATGTTCCGTTGCAATTCCCCCCGCCCCCTCTTTTTTTTTTTTTTTTTTCAAAGAATACAAGTAGATTGATACCGGTTAAGGAGCCCTTCTTTAAAAAACTTACACCTACAAAAGAACACTCCCACCCACCCCGCGCCAACCCACCCTTGGGTGATTGAAGCATAAATTATATAATAGGAAATCCAGGTTGCAAAGCGAGATGAGTAGGTGGGATCGCGGAAAGATCTTCAGGTTAAGAAAAGTAAAAATAGAAAAGTGAGTTAACAAAACGAGAAGAAAATCCAACAGAAACCAAAATGAACACAAACCTTGCTGTTAACAAAACCAGTGTCTGTACAGCGGAATGGCAAATCCCCAGCCCCCAGATCAGCCCCGCCGCAGTTAGGTAGCGCTGATCTCGGTAACCAAACATAACTCCCGGAGTCACAGGCTGCAGGGAGCTCTGGTAATAAACCTGAAGAGTCGACCTGACATCACTCGCAGAGCCCTCCTCCAGGTCACCCTCGCTGCCCCTTCCCTCCCCCGCTCCCTCCCTCCCTCCTCAGGTCCCAGCCACAGCTCTTTCCCAGGGCACGCCTCCTCCGCCTCCGGCCGCGGGTCCCGGGCGCGCAGGTCGCGCGGGACCCGGACCGAGGATCCTGCTCCACGCGCCGGCGGCAGCCGCTCCTCTGGCCCGGCGCTGCTCCCCCTCGGGCCCGTCCCAGCGGCTCCCGACTCCCAGGGCGCTCGAGCCCTTTGGACCCTTCTCCCCCAGCTCCCAGGTGCCGGCTTGCTCTCCCGGGACTCACCAGTGGGATTCGGGAGAAGTTGGAGGCTGCAGAGCAGGCACATCCGGACCAATGAGCGCGCGGGGCCGGGCGGCGGGCGGGTGGGCGGTTGGGGAGCCCCGCCGAGCGCGGGTCGGTCCGTGGGTCCCCCGGCGCACCCGGAGCGCCGAGGGATCCGGGCGGCTGGCGGCGGCGCCGAGTTCAGCCGAGGCCGGACGCCGGGGAGGTTCCGCGCCAGCCACGGCCCGGACAGGGGGGCGGCCCGGCACCCCAGGCATCCCTGGGACCCGCACACGGAGAGACTCACCGTGGCCGCTCAGCAGATCCCGCGCCGGGAGTTGGGCGGCTGCTCCCGCCTGCGCTCGGTCAAGCCTCGCCACTTGCACATCTCCGCGCCCCGCGCGTCTCGGCGGTCCTACCCTCTGCCTCGCCGCGGCAGGACCGAGGAGAGGAGCAGTTCCCCGGGTGACCTGAAGGTTTCCGCTGGGTCTCCCAAATGCTGCCACACCGTGTGAGGGGGGCCCGAGGGAGGGGGCGGCGAGAAAGTCTCCCCACGCCCCCAGTTTCCCCACCTCACCATTCCCAAAAGGGCCTTGCCAAACATTCTTGGGATTGCTTAGCTTCGGGGCTTTCAGGAAAACAATACTGGGTCTCTTTGGGATTCTGCAGCGCTGAAGGGGGCTCTGCCTCTCTCGTGAGTGCACCGCAGACAACAATGCTTCTCTCTCTCTTCGCTCCTTTCTCTCCCAGCATCCACGCTTCCTTCCTCCCTTTCTCGGCTTTAATTTTTCTCTTTCATTCCCTTCTAACTTTTGCTGTATTTTCTTTTCCTTCCCTCCTTCACCTTTTCCTTCCTTCCTTTAACCACTTCTTTCCTTGGTCAGAGCAGTAGGATAGTAAGCTCTGTCCAGAAACTCTCCGCTCCCACCTCTCCACTCTGGGGAATCTTGAAACCGTGGAGACTTGGGGTGTTGGCAGTGGGGAGCGACAAGGAGAGGGAACAAAAAGCTAAGGTGTGTCTGCTACACCTACCAAAATTATCTGTGCCTTGTCTGGCCCCTTGTCAATATCAATCCGCCGCCAAGCAACACAGCATTTTCACTTAAGACACTCCTTCCTTCTAAGGGGGGTTTAAAATACAAAAAGAAACAAGGAAATACTTTTTGCACAAAGGCAGTTTATAAAAGAAAGCTTCAGCAGCGTTAACTGGCAAGGTGCTCAGAGGAACCCAGCCTCCTGCTGCCCCGCCCCACCCCTTTTTTTTCTTTCTAAGGTTTTAAATTCAATTATAAAATGCCAACTATATAAGGAGCTTTACCATTGATCCCTTTCTTCCTTTGAATTATATATAATTGCAAACACACATACTCTGCGGAATTCATACTGAAACACTATGGGGTTTTCCAAACTTGCAATTATCTGTTTTAAACATCAGAATTACTTACTGCTTGAGAAGAGTCCCTTGGCACTAACAAATTTTACATCATTTTTCTAGAAGACAAAACTGAAAAGCCAGGAGAAGTGGTTATACATGCTAATAAATTAAATGAAATAAAATGGAGACTTCCTTAAAAAGTTAACCAATCTTTAGGTAATTAAGTTAATAAAGAAATCTGATGGATGGACATGAAAAGTACTACTTGTATTTCTGTACTTTCCTCCTTCTGTGTGCAGATTATAGACTCTTAAGGCTCATAATAATCCTAAAATCCGGGTCTAAGTCCCCACCAAAGGAGCATGGAACTTAGCCAATGCCCTGGGGAAGCACTCCACTGAACTGACCAGGAAGCCTGGTTACTTTTGCATAAACTGATTCACTCAGCTCCATTAGTTGAGAAATCTCGATCTTCTGACACTTCTTAAACACTATTACTTTTCAGATAAAAATTACAATCTTATTTTAACTGGACATCATCAACAATGAATTTGATGAGTTAGAAAATATTTTCTCTTATTTTTTCCCATTTAGCCGGTTCTCAGTTTCTTCATATACAGCCATATGTATGAACACTTACATGCATACCTGATTAATGCAAGAGAATTAAGCTCATGTGCTTGGCCTTAACCTTCATATTTAAACTTTTCAAGTTAAGTTCTTGCACTAAATTTTATTTTATTTTTAACTTTTTAAATACTTATTTTATGTATTTGAAAGGCAGGCAGGCTTACAGAGAGAGAGGGAAAGACACAAGAGAGATCTTCTATCTGCTTGTTCACTCCTCAAATGCTTGCAAGGACTTGGTGAACAGGCTGAAGCCAGGAGCCTGGAATTCCATCAAGGTCTCCCACATAGATATCGAGGGATCAAACATTTGGAGTGTCTTCTGCTGCTTTTCCAGGCACATTGGCAGGGAGCTGAATGAAAAGTGCAACATCCAGGAATTGTACAGTTGCTCATATGGGATGCTGGCATCGCAGGCCACTGCTTAACCAGATGTGCCACAATGCTGGCACAAAATTTTAAACAGATGAAATTCTGTTGGAAGGTAAGTATTCCCTTGCAGTTCAGGAATAGAAAATAGGATGATCTGGTTTATTTATAGAGCCTCTGAACTTTGACTTGAAGATGTAATTTATTTTTTTAAGTCATTAATGGAAACTTTCCACAGTATTCCATTATGAACACATGTCATATTTTCATTTCAGGAGAAAAATCTGCAGGAAGCCAATTTCAAAGTTCATTCCTGGTGGGGACTTTTACAAGCAAAAGAATGATGCTAGTTAGGATGGGCATCAAAAGACAAAATGGCTTCATCACAGGCAGGCATTTGGCACATTTGTTAAGATGCTACTTGGGACATCTGCTGCCATCTCATATCAGCAGAGTGCCTGGGTTTGAGTTCTGACTCTATTCATCCCCAACTCCAGCTTCCTGCCAGTGTGCACACTGGGAGTCAGCAGGTAATGGCTCATGTACTTGGGTTCCTGTCACTCACATGGGAGAGCTCTAATGAGTTCCTGGCCTGGACTGTTGTGAGCATCTGGGGCATGAACTAGCAAATGAGAGATCCCTCTTTCAAAAAAGAAATATATAAAAATTTTAAAAAAAGCTAAACCAAATAAGGCCTAGTTACAGTTATTTTTAGACTCTTTCAAGTGGTAGTCAAGAGTATAGATGGGTAACTGCCTTCCCATAAATACTGATCTCATGAAAGTTCATTAGAAACATACGGGTTTTTATCAAGAATGTGAAATCTCTTTCTAGTAGGAGGTTATGCAGATTTGAGATAATTTCGCTTGTAAGGGATCTATTAAGGAACCCCCAGACACATCAAGTAAGTAAATCAGTAAGCTTAAGTTGTCCAGAGTCACTCAGTTTGGTCAATGCAGGAACAGAGGAGAAAGTAGTCTTCCCAGGGGCCAAACTTTACTTACTAACAGTGGAATGCCTGGATTCTGGCAATATGGAAATAAAGGACCCTGCCTGGAACACTTGCAAATGTTTGATCAACTGTTTTTGAAAAGGATCATTAGGAGCAGTTATTGTGTGGGTAGTGGATCCCACTTGCAGCACCACATCCCATGTCTGAGTGCCAGTTGTATTCCTGGCTACTCCAATACTGAACCCACTTGCTGCTATTAGACCAAGACAACAGCAGATGATGACTTAAGTCCCTGGGTCTGCCACCTATGTGGGAGACTAGGAGTTCTGGGCTCCTGGTGTAGGCATGGCCCTTCCCTGGCTGGTGTTGTCATTCAGGGAGTGAAATAGTAGATGAAAGATCTCTGTCTCTATCTCTCTCACACTGCTTTTCAAATAAGTAAAAGGATCAAGAAACATTTCAAAAGAAAAAAAGGCCCTCTAAATGTATCCTTGAACTAGTGAGAAAGTGAAAGAAAACCTTGGGAGTCAAAAACAAGAACAGCCACAAATCTGAAAGTATGTGAGTGCTAAAGATGACACCTATTGATCTCAGGAGGCCTCATGGAACCTAAGAGATCTGAAGCCTTAGTTGTTAACAGGAATTATAAGTCCCAGCGTACTTATACAGAGTTTAGTCCAGAAGAAGGTGAAAAGTTAGATCAAAGATTCGTACATAAAGCTCAACCCACTGAAAAGAAACTTCTGCAATGAAAACCTGAACTAACAAAAACCAAAACTAAAATCCCACCCATATTTCCTCCCCTACCTCCCAATTCCATCTGCACTATGACCCTTTAAGTTAGTCCAATTGATTCCAAGCCCCTCCACTCAGAATTTGCCTCACCAGGTGTGAAGGGGTGTCCTGCATATCAGCTCCTTCTACCTAGTCCATAAAACTCCCACTCAAACCCACGTGGTTGGTAGGGGAGGTAAATTTGAGTCATCTGCACCTTGCTGGTTAATAATAAAGCTTTCTCCTCTTAGAAGACTGGCATCAAGCCGGCGCTGCGGCTCACTAGGCTAATCCTCCGCCTTGCGGCACAGGCACCCCGGGTTCTAGTCCCAGTCGGGGTGCCAGATTCTGTCCCGGTTGCCCCTCTTCCAGGCCAGCTCTCTGCTGTGGCCAGGGAGTGCAGTGGAGGATGGCCCAAGAGCTTGGGCCCTGCACCCCATGGGAGACCAGGAGAAGTACCTGGCTCCTGCCTTCGGATCAGCGCACTGCGCTACGGCGGCCATTGGAGGGTGAACCAAAGGCAAAAGGAAGACCTTTCTCTCTGTCTCTCTCTCTCACTGTCCACTCTGCCTGTCAAATAAAAAAAAAGAAAAGAAAAGAAAAAAAGACTGGCATCACCCAAAGCATTGGGAATCCCCTTGTGCTGTTACAGAAACAAATATATTTGCCTTTTTCAGCCTTGACTCAGGATTCAGTGTACAGCAAAGACTTCCTGTGAGAATTCATGATCAGATAATGGGCTAATTGAGTGGCCTGACTATTCCTAAATTAAACAGCTACCAACTAATGATCTCAGCTAGACTGTGTCAATAGAAATTAAGGGAATTTCTACCACCTGGCTCTCACTAGAGGAAGTTCATGATAATAAATTTATGAGACAAGATAACAACTAATGGAAGGTCTAATATGAATCAAAGAATGTTAAGCAAACAATATTGTAACAATATAGGTAGATCGAGGGAATCATGGTGGGGGAAGGTAAGACCAACTGAAATAATGTAATAACGATAATGATAATGTATATGTTGGGAGAGTGTTAATTAAACTGATAATTAATCTGTTGAGATGCCTATGTACCATACCAGAATACCTGGGTTTTAGATGGGAGCTCTCTCTTGGTATCTCAAAAGCAAACAAAAAGCCACTCTGAAGTTCTTACTTATCTTTATTGGAAAAGCAGCCAAAGACACTGATTAAATTTAGACTTTACATTTGATTGAGTTAATTATGAATGTGAGAATTACTTGGGGCTGGCGCTGTGGTGTAGCAGGTAAGGCTGCCACCTGCAATACCAGCATCCCATATAGGCACCAATTAGAGCTTCAGCTGCTCTTCTTCCGATCCAGCTCTCTGCTATGG